CCCGTGAGCCACAACTACTGAAGCCCACATGCCACAACTATTGAAGCCCGTGGGCCTAGAGCCCGTGCTCCGCAACAAGAGAAGCCACAGCAAGGAGAAGCCCATGCACTGCAACGAAGAGTAGCTCCCACCCGCCGCAACTAGAGAAAGCCCGAGCACAACAACGAAGACCCAGTGCAGCCAAAATAAATAAATAAATTTATAAAAATAAATAAAATAACAAATGCTATATCCACATATGAAGACAGATTTATATTTTAGTATGTAAAACTATGAATACCTAATTCATATCCTATCATACAAGTAACATTTTTTTGAAAAGAAATTAAACATGTTTAGGATTTACTGATAATCATTCAGACGCCAAAGTTTATGACCTGAATGTTACCATCTCTAGAAAACTAATTCAAATATTTTTTCTATATCTGGATTTTATTTTGCTTTCCAAGGAAAAAAATATATATAGCCAAATAAGCTTAAACAATTATATTTTAACAGTTAAACCATAACACAAAATGTGTATTATGTTAGCTCATTTTAACCTTTCTCTGTCAAGTGCTTGGAATGTTTGATACAACAAGCAGTCTCTAGTCTAAACTATATATGTAAAATAAGTGGGCAATGTTCCAGGTCTAACCTCTCCTTGACCTTGAGAACAGGAAACTCTTGTTCTCATCCTCATATCACCACTGTTTGACTCAGCATATGTGAGTCAGTATACATGACTCAGAGTCAAACAATATGTTTGTAAATAGTGCTAACAGCTACCATTTATTATAATGGTAATTTATTATAATTATATGTTATAATTATAACAGTTATATATTTTTATAAATGAGGTCCTTCTCATTTCTTCCACCATATTTTTTTAGCACTTCCCATGTCATCCCTAATCCTCATGACAAGGATGTGAAATAAGTTGTATTGCCTTAATAACTGATTTTTTAAAATACTGAGGCTCAGATGTAAAGTGACTTGCCTGTGTCTACACAGTCACTAGGAAGCCAAGTCAGAATTCAAGCTTTAGTCTGTCTCAAAATCTATACTACATCACTAACACATTTTGGTTATCTTTGCACTGTAGGCCATGATGATCTTTTTGAATTTTTTCAAATATAGTATGTGTATTGCAGAAACAAAGGCACAACAAACATTCTTCTTAAATGGATGCATTAATAAAAGTTTATTCGTTTTAAGAATAGCCCTCTTTTACTTCCATGAATTTCATCCACAATTTTAATTAATTAATTTCAAAGTACACCCATCAAAGCTCTCAGTGGTTACAAGATATTTAAGCAGCTCTCTCTCCAGGCCCGGTTAAGAGGGGTCACCAGATGGCTTCCCATCATGTGAAGGTTGAGCAGCTATAATGCAGGTATAATGCAGGTATATTGCAGGTCCCAGTGCAGAAAGATAAGCAATGCCTATGTCTTACCATCGAGTAAGAGAAAATAGTTCAATATATTTTTTGTTCAAATAAGCTCATATAATGATAAAAACATCTACTCAGGAGAACTGGATGAATAATCGTCTTTCAGGAATCAAGATAAAAACATCAAAATAGAAATGATTTTGGAAACAGGAAAGAGCAACAGGCCATGAAAACCTAGCTTCCCATCTCAGCTCTGTCATCACCCAGCTAGGCAATATTGGATAGTTCACTGTTGAAGCCTACGTCTCCTTTTCCTTATCTGTAGATGAGGACCTTGAGCTACACCGTTATTTCCCAAACTCATCTGATCATAAGAATCACTTAGGGTCAAGGTTAAAAATATAACTATGGAAAGCCTAGAGAATCAGAATCCTTGAAGAAGGGTCTTGGGCATGCGTATTTTAATAAAGATCCTTGTTGACACTGATGATGGGGCAAGTTTCAGAAACACAGGAGTAAACTGCCTCTAGTATTGCTTATGGTTATGAAAATCCATAATCTATCTTACAACACTTTTCTGTAGAAAAATGGAGAGTGGATAAACCGAATGATTTATCATTGCCAATACTTGCGCTTAATCTAGGTTTTTCTTTCCAGTTTGTAAGTTACTTTCTTGAAGAAAATAAAATTTAACCTCAGTATATATTCTGCTGTTACTGGTGGTCCTGACACGAGGACAGCATGAAGAATGAAATTTTGAGTAAAACGAAATAGAGTTGCATGTGTGAAGCATGAAATTCTTTCCGTGTTTAACGTGTTCAGTAATTCAGAAGGTAACATTTATTCAATGAGGAGACTTCCTTTTTAGCCTATGGGGAAACTGAATACGTTGATATGAATCTGCATTTTTATATGGCAGATTAATTTGAAGTTTTTACTTGTTCTAATTCTGTGTGATTCAAGAGAGGCACAGAGGGAAAAGATTAATAAAATCCATATTGAATCCCCTCCTCTTTCCTGAAAAGAAAATATGAGGATGCATCTTGATGAGTGGCATCACATCAGCAGTTTGCCCTTCTTTTTTAAGTCACTGAATAATTCCTTTATGGCTAGTGATCTATGGATTAGCATGTCTCCCGGGTGTTCTGCCTGCAATCTGGGCAGCAAACTACGCAGCAGCCCTGAGCAGGCTCTGGGAGATACAGACATTCTTCCAGATGTTGACACTGAAAGCATCAGTTAGGGAGGTCAGGTGCCCTTTAAAAAGGGAACCTTGTAAGGAGTTGTTTACCAATGTTTCCCTTAGCAGAGCAGCTAAGACCATAGAGAGATGGTGTTGACACAGAAATGGCAGGTTTGCCTGAGATTTCATCTCCAAAAGCAAAATCAAAACTAACCTATTTATAGGTTATGCAACTTAGAGAGAAATGCCTTCTCTACAAGTTGGAACTGTCAAATTCTCCATAGTATTAAAATTCAGGATATTTACAAGAGGTTTCAGTAAACAAATTTCCCTCCAAAAGACTCTGAAATTTTTGAGAGATCACTTTATCTTCAAGGAAAAATATTTTAAAAGTATTAAGAAAGTTCCAACAAGGACTTACCGTGTAGCACAGGGAACTCTACTCAATATTTTATAGTAACCTATAAGGGAAAAAAATCTGAAAAGGACTCTATGTATAACTGAACCACTGTGCTGTACACCTGAAACTAACATGATATTGTAAATCAACTATACTTCAATATAAAAAAGTATTAAGAAAATAAATCTCCTCAAATGGATAATCTACATAATGCCTGTTCAGTAAGGCCAAAATTACATGAGTGAGTCAGTTGCATCAATAGGATAAAATAACTTAGAAAAAATTTTGTAAGAATATTAAAAAGAAAGATGACCACATAAAGATAAAAGAAACAGAAACGTTCAAATGTGTAATAACAGAAAGTCTGAAGAAGATCCTGCCTTCACGGCCCAGAATGTTTAATTACAATAGAAGACAGGAAAAGCAGCATTATTCAACTCCTACTTTGATTTTATCTTCCACTAAAAAGAGAATGACCTTTCACCTTGAAAGTATGGTCCAACAATGTCTGAGTGAAATGATACTCAAGAAGTCAAGAAAATATTAAATGAACGCTTGAATCCTTTATATTGATTCAAATGCCCTAGTCTAGAAAAACTGCATCACAGTATAAAGAAAGTATAAATGTTCTTAGGAAGGCGTTTTCAATGATGTTTGAAAAATCCTGGAATGTAAGTAGGCACAGGAAAAACATATCATTAAATGGTAGATATTGACTCTTCAAAAGGGAGAGAGAACTAATTTCTAGAAATCACAGTTTAACAAATTCAATATTGATCCCTGGAAAAAATTACAGAATAAATTATTGAATAGGTAGTTTGTGAATATATAGAAAGCAAAATGGTGACAAAGAGGAACCACCCTGGACATACTAAGAAACAATATTGTTGATCTAATAGTTATTTCTAGGGATGTTACAAGAGAGGAATGTTATAAGGATAATGCCTGTGCTTCTGATTACAAGGTATTTAACATAATCTGGCATATTCCTGGAGAAAGGAAAGATAAGCATGTGCTGTTTGATTAAAATGCATTCTCTAACAACTAAAAGAATGTCAGTTAGTGGGCTAGCCAACAAATATTCATCTGGTGAGTGCCATGGCATAAGACAATATCCCTGCTTTCCAGAAGTTTATATTCTAATGGAGAGAAGGTCCTAGTGGCATCTTACTGGACACTCTATTTGAACCTGATTTATTTAACATGGTCCATTGACTTGGATAAGCACATCAGATGTACAGATGCCATTGACTAAGGAATGTTTTGAATAATATTATCCACCAATAAGATGTCAATAAACAGAGTGGGCACCATGTATCACACATTCATTAACACTCCTTCCATGGAGAGGTGATTACATCAAGATGTCCCCCCCCCACTTCCACAGGTACCTTGAGTCTGGGCAGGCTTAGCGACTGCTCTGACTGGTAGAATAATGCTGGATGTGATGCTGTACCGACTTCCAGACATAGGCCTTCAGATACTGGCAGCCTTCTTTTCCTGACCCATGGGAGACAGCTGCAGTGCTGCATGGAAAGTAGAACAGCCCTGGGGAGACCAATGGGAAGGGGCACCGACAAATTCTGCCAACAGCCAACACCAAATGCCAGTCATTGAGTGTGCCATCTTGGAAGCCGATTCTTGGATGCGGTTGAAAAATCTATCCCAGCTGACATTGCAGGGCACAGAGGCAAACCTTTCTGCCAGCAGAGCATTCCTCAGACTGCATATTTATGAGAAAAAATAGATGATTGTTATTAAGCCACCATGTTCTTGGGATGCGGTTTCCCTCTCTCTCCCTCTCTCTCTCTCTCTCTCTCTCTCTCTCATACACACACACACAGGATAAAATACTCAATTGTATAAATAAATAAGTACATAACTACGTTGATCAAAGTATTAAAACTGACTGTTACTTCAATCTGAACCAGCAGAATGCAAATTCACTAACAGATGCCCTTATCTAAATCCAGTCATTCTTGCTATATGTAAACATTGACAAATTCTATTGATTTTACCTCCAAATGTCTCTTGAATATTCCTTCTTCTCTCCATCTCCACTGACACCAGTGTGGTCACTTACACAGTAGCCTCCTAAGTTGTTTCTTCACATCCATTCTTACCTCCCTCAAATCACTCCTCACACTGAAGTGAGAATGGACTGTTAAAAACATAAATCTCAATGAGTTATTTTTCTGTTTACAATCCTTCAATCAATATTGCTATTAGGATAAAGACCTACTTAGTTTTATCCTAATCTTTATCAACAACATCAATTGCCATGACCCCTTCATTGTGGTTTTTTTTTTTCATTCCCCTCACCTTTATTTTCTTTTTCTAGAATGTGTTCTGCTCCCAGCTGCCTCAATATCCTTGTGCTCTCTGTTCCCCTTGCCTGGGATGATTAGGAATCTCTCACTGTCCTTCAGATCTCTGATCAAGTACCACTGCTTCAGGGAAATGTTCTTTGTCCTCCCATACCTGGTCATACACACTCTTTCCCCCACCACATACACTCCTCACCTTTCAGAATGCCATAGCTTTGTCCTCTGAGACATTTGACACATTTGTGATTTATAACTAAGAAGTGGCTAGTTGTTCATTAGTTACCTCTGCCAACAGAGACAGTCTTCACGATGGCAGGGACTATTCGTAACACCTCCGTTTCCCAAACATCGTACAACATGCCTTCTATGGAGTATGTGCTTAGTAATTATGTGTTAAATACATCAATGACTGGTTTATTTCAGGGGGTTTAAAGCCTTCTTCTCTGCAAATAGAAGACCATGAGATTTTCGTCCTTGTTAACTACAGACTTTGGCTAAGTAGATGCTCAGTAAATCTTTATTTATTTAAACTGAATACACTAAATATGATTATTTTACATACATGGAAAAGTTAAAGGAGGAGTCATTTTAAAAATTAGGGCATCCAGGGCTTCCCTGGTGGTGCAGTGGTTGAGAGTCCGCCTGCTGATGCAGGGGACACGGGTTCGTGCCCCGGTCCGGGAGGGTCCCACATGCCGCGGAGCAGCTGCGCCCGTGAGCCATGGCCGCTGAGCCTGCGCGTCCGGAGCCTGTGCTCCGCAACGGGAGAGGCCACAGCAGTGAGAGGCCCGCGTACCAACAACAACAACAAAAAAAATTAGGGCATTCAAGAACTGTGACAAACTGAAATAAATTCAATTGAAAGCAGCCATAAAGGTGAAAAGTTTGGAGACAAGGCACATGAGAAACGACTGAAGGAAATAAAGTCCAGGGAAGAGAGAACTCTAGCTGAGCTGTGATACACGTATATGTTATACCGCTATTAAAACAGAAAATACCCCAGTGGGCCCAACTAATGCCAATGTATGGAATTTATCATGTTGCAAATTCCAACCAACTCATTCACTGAATACCTAATAATCCCTTACTGTGTGCCTTGCACAGTGTTAGGGAAGAGGATATAATCATGGTGCTTGTAGGCTAAGGAGGAAAAGAAATAAAGAACAATTAAACAATTAAAAATTAGCAAATACTAAAAAACAGACACATAAGTGTCTTGAAAAGAATATAAGGAGAGAGACCATAGATTGGGTGGTTTAAAAAAGCCTCTCTGAAGAGAGGATTTTCAAGATGAAACCTGAGGAATGAGAAAAAGACAGGCCAATGAAATTTATCCCAACAGCAAGAGAAGGGAAGTCCATTCCTTCTACAGGAAGGCTGTAAGGAAAGGAAACATTTTGGTGTCTTTGAGACACAGAAAGTTTAAGTAGTGTGGGCATCGTAAGTAAGCAGAAAAGCGGTGCAGGATGAAAGGGAAACAGGAGTCACATGATGTGAAGCCCTGTTGTCCGCAATTAAGGGTTTGGATTTATTATATGTGCCATGAGAAGTAAGTTGGGTTAAAAAAAGCAAAAGCATTCTCAATCCTTTTTAAAAGAGCACATTTTTGCCTTGAGCATAATTGATTAAAGGTAGATTAATGAAGAATATTGGACACCAGGTAGAAGTTTACTACAGTCAACTTGGCACAAACTACATGCTTTGGAAAATAAAGATGTAAGTGAAAAGGGAAAGAATTAGTTAGATTTGAGATATATGTGTTTGAGATGTGTTATGGGTTGACTAGTGTCCCCTCAAAATTCATATGTTGAATTTCTAACCCTCGGTACCCCAGAACGTGACTGTATTTGGGGACAGGGTCTTTAAAGAGGTGATTAATTTAAGATGAGGTCACTAAGGTGGGCCCTCATCTAATCTACCTGATGGCCTTATAAAAAAGGATATTAGGACTTACAGACACCAGAGGAACCAGGCATAGAGGGAACATCCCGTGAAGAAGCAACAAGAGGGTGTCCATCTGCAAGCCAAGGAGAGAGACCTCAGAGGAAATCAACCCTGTCAGCACCTTGATCTTGGACTCATAGCCTCCAGAGCCATGAGAAAATATATTTCTATTGTTCAAGCCACCCAGTCTGTGATATTTTGTTTTGTAGCCCTAGCAAATGGATACAAAGTGGAACAGGCAGCACTTATCAAGAGATTGGATTTGAGAGTGATAGGAAGTGAGGCCACAAGCATAATTCTGTTGTTTGCAGGTTGAATCACTGGGTGCATAATGGTGCCATTTCCTGAGATGGAAAGACTGAGGGAGAATATATTTCTTTGGGGAAACTAGGGGTTTTGTTAGGTTACTTAAGTCTGAGATGACGGTGAGGCGTCTTTAGTAGAGGTATCAATTAGACAATTGACTATATAAAAATCTAGGGCTCAGAAGAGAGTTCCTGGCTAAAGAAATATATATGTGTGTGCCTGTGCATTTGTATGTAAGTATGTGTGTATATATGTTTGTATGTACGTGTGCATACATTCTTACAGTGATATTTGATATCAGGGAATGTATTAGGTCACCAAGGAAGACAAGGTAGAGAAATGGAGGGAAGTAAACCCAAGATTTACCTCTAAGGAAGTGGCATTTCAAGGTCATGGAGAAGAAGAACCAGCAAAAGAGACACAATGCATTAGTTATCTATTGTTACATAGCAAGTTATCCCCAAACTTAGCAATCGGAAACAGCAAACACTTGGTATCTTGTAGTTTCTGCAGGTCAGGAAACTGGGAACAACTTAGCTGAGTAGTTCTGATTCAAGGTCTCTCACAAGGCTCCTACTGAGATGTTGGTATGGCTAGACTTGACTGGGGAAACTTCCCCTTCTGACTCACTCACATGGCTGAGGACAGGCCTCAGAAGATCTGCTCCTAGGTCAAACTCACACGAGCCTCCCGACAGGGCTGTCTCTCACCTTGGCGACTGTCTGACCTCAGAGCCAGTAAAAAGAGAAAGAGCTCCTAAGATGGAAGACACAGCCATTCTATACCCCAACCCAGGAAGTGACATCCTATTACTACTGCCATATTCTATTCATCAGAAGCAAATTTCTAAATCTAGCCCACAGTCCAGGGGGTATGATTACACAAGAGCATGAATGAGAGGAAGTAGAGATGATTGGGGGCCAGGTTAGGGGCTGCCTACAACAGGGTATAAAGAGGGAGAAGAAATTGGCAGGGTCAATGGATTAAAGATCTAAATTTTATAGAAGACTTGGTTCTATGTGGTTATTGAGCAGGTGAGTATACAAGTGTAGAAGGTTGTACTTAGAGACTGAAACATTAAATTTGAAATACTGAAGATGGTGTGGTCATTGGTTTATGACACCTTTAGCTGAAGACCAGAGAAACATGTTGTTGAGTGGGTAGGAAGGAAAATACAGAAATGGAACCGAGAAGTTGTTGTGCCATACAAGCCATCGACACGGATATTGGAAGCATGAGAAAGAAGACTGGAACTTGGGTGGAGAAGCTGTGAGCCAGCAGCTAAAGGATTGCACGAACAAAAAGCAAAACATTGCAAGTCAGGAAATGCTATAGCAAGGAGGAAGAGGCGAAGCTGTTGAAGGGGAAAGAGGTGTAAAAGGCAGATGAGGAGTGAAGATCTGAAACCAGCAATGGACAGCAAGGAAAATGACCCTGTCTCCCCACAGGCCCTAGTTAATCAGGGTGTAGAAGAGGCATGCAAATAGGAGATGTCATTTTGTCATGAAAGAGCAGTTTTCAGTCAACAGAGGGTACAGAGGTTGCTGTCCTGAGAAAGATGTGTTGGCATCAAACAGCAAGGAGTTCTTAGAAGGCAACTTGGGAGAATTTGGCAGAAGCAGGAATAGGTGGTTCAGGATTGGTAAGGAACTGGGCTGGAAAGGTACAAGAGCTCAGAAATAATGGGTGATTAATAGACCTCAATTTCTGGTGCTGATGAAGGTTAACAGACATGCTGGTCCTCACAGCTTTGGTTCTTGTCGTCATTACTGGTAGTGTGGGAACTCAATCTTAGGAAAGAAATGATCACAGTGAGGGAAGAATAAGAAGGTAAAGGGCTGTCTTTACATTAGCAGGCGACTAATTAGCAAGGAAGAAAGGCCAAAGCTGGTAAAACTATGGAGGTTTTAAAAATTATGATAGAGGAGTTTCCAGTGCTTGAATGGAACAACTGTGATTCTTCCTAGTCTATAACTTTGTTGCATTTTTCTCTCATTGCTGCCACTTCTTGTGAGATACCTTCTTTTAGTTAGAAGATATCAGGAAAAACCTTAGAAATTATTTCCTCAAATTCTTTCCTGGGAAGAAGCTGAAGCCCAGAGAGTCCACAGCATCTCATCCATGACCAGGTATAAAAACAGTGTCAGGTTCAGGGATTAAAATGAAGAATCTTGATTTTTAGTTCATTTGAAATTCTGGGGATAAAATATAGTGGCATAATAACTTTATACAAAAAAAAGTAGACAAACAAAATGGCTGACAAGGGAAGGATTTGGGGGTGAATTCATATTTAACTGAAAACATATATTTTGAGCTTTTAAAGTCATTTCCCAAGATGCTTTGACAACACACAAATGTGACATTATGTGTTACCTACCCATGGCATTTCCTGAGATTCAGATGAATTCTTGGGAATTGATGGCTAAAACTTTTTACCAGTTTAAATTCCATACATGTGTCACTGTAGAGGGACACAAAGACAAAAATAGAAACATGATGTAGTTGGGCTCTTCCAACTAGAAGTAACACTGGCTGTGTCTGGCATGGGGCAAGTTGGACTAACCAACCAGGATAATGACCATGTCACATAGTCCTTTACTCTATCCTTCTACTTTTTAGTACTTTTGTCATGTACTTTCTATTCTGGGATGTCTAAGTGAAAACAGCCAACTTGTTTTTAGAGACAGAAGGGGAGAAGAAGAAAGAGGAGGAAAAAGAGAAGTTGTTTAAGTTCATAGTAAATATGCTTATCTTAAGTATAAGGGAAGTACTCATAAAAATTTAATCATGCAATATTTTGATCATCCTATTAACAGAACATATATAAGCATTAGTTGATTATAGTAAATAATAAGGTAGTTAAGGTTCATATCTCTGAAGTTATTACATTAATTCTTTTTTCAATTTATTTTTTATTGGAGTAGAGTTGTTTTACAATGTGTTAGTTTCCGCTGTACAGCAAAGTTCAGTTACACATATACATATATCCCCTTTTTTTTTTTTTTTTTTTTGTAGTACGCGGGCCTCTCACTGCCGTGGCCTCTCCTGTTGCGGAGCACAGGCTCCGGACGCGCAGGCTCAGCGGTCATGGCTCACGCGCCCAGCCGCTCCGTGGCACTTGGGATCTTCCCGGAGAGGGGCACGAACCCGTGTCCCCTGCATCGGCAGGTGGACTCCCAACCACTGCGCCACCAGGGAAGCCCTATCCCCTTTTTTTAATATTTCCTTCCCATTTAGGTCACCACAGAGCACTGAGTAGAGTTCCCTGTGCTATAAAGTAGGTTCTCGTTAGTTATCTACTTTATACCAAAAAAGGCTTTTGGAAACTACTATAACTTCATTACATTAATTGTTTAAAAGGAGTTAGTAGTTTCCAAAAGTCCTTTTTGGTGTATATGGGAGACATTAAGTATTGAAAAATTAGAGCATATTGAACAAGGAATACTCTACAAACTTATTTGTCCCTCTTAAAGCCTTACTGAAGAAAAGTTATAAAATTTAGAACGTGGTAATATAGTAATACCAGAAAGACTAGGAGAGAAAGGGGTGAGGAGAGAGAAAAAACTTTATAAAATTGAGTAAACATATTCAAAACACATTTTTTGAGCCTGAAAATTGTGCAGGTTATACTGAATTTTAAGCAATGATTATAGAAGACGGGGTGATTTTCAAATGCAGAAGGATCAGCCTTAGCAAGAAAAAAAGGCAATAGAAGAAAAGGCAAGTGATAAATTACACAGAAATCTCATTTTTTCTGTAGTAATCTTAGTAAAACCATCGATAATAGGAGAAAGAAATTTGAAAGATTTTAACTTTACAAACCTGGGCCAATTTAAAATACAATACTATATTTTGCTGTGAACACTGGTTTCCCAGTAGTCCTTTTGAAAGTTGGGAAAGGACACTTAAATGAAAATTAGTTTATACAATTAATCTGGCAGTGTAGGGGTTAGAGTAAATTACCAAAGAGAAATATACAGCAATGCAGGGAAACCATCCTCCCAAACAAATACATGTGTAACAACTGAAACACATATGTGCGTATTATATATTTATGTGTGTATGTACACTTACGCATGTGTGCATATGTGCACACGTGTATGTATCACGTGTATATGTAAAACATGTGTGTGCACATGTTTATGTACAGACACATACATGGACTTGTGAAAGAGGCCAAGGAAAGCTGATGATAATAATTTGAAATGGTGAATTTAAAACGCATAAAAGCATGAAATAGACCAATCTCAAAAGGGAGGAAAGGACACAGAAAGCCTACAGCATGTCAACTGTTGTGTTCCTTTGGGGGGGGGAGGGTAAATGTGCCAGCAGTGCTTTCACGTGGAACACTGTGCAGACACGGAGTAGGGCGGTCCTCCGTCGTTGTGCCTCAGGAGCATGCTGTCGCCAGGGGCCCGAGACCGGATTCTCCATGTAAGGGTCTTTTTGTGATTCGCGATTCTGACTCCCTGAGCAAGACAGACCAGCCTGGGGGTACTGGAGCCCGCGTCTTGCCCTGCATATTTATCACCCACAAATCACCTGCTATAGATATACCTCAGCCGGATCATCATCAGGCCGGCTCCGTAGCCCGCAATTTATGAAGGTTATAGGAAGCAGTGTGAAGGGTGCAGTGCTTTATTAAGGGTGGCTTTCTCCCTAACCCAATCCTGCATTCCTCTTGAATATAAATGACCCTGAGAGTGTGTGCTCCTTTCCCTGCAGGATTAAGGCTTTTTACATTGTCCCTTTTGGCTGTTATTCTTATGTCACTGTCATGAGACACACAAGATTTTTAAAGAAACATCTAAATCAGTGTTCAAAGATAATGTGAGAAACCCCTAGATGCAAAGTAGAAGTATTTCTAAACCTCACACTGGTTCTTTTTTATGTGCAAAGCATGCAAACCATTCTCCTTTTCTCCATTTTTTTTTGCATGTCATTAGTCTCTTTATTTTTGCTTCTGGCAAAAATAACAGAGTTGACCAAAATGTCTTGCAAATATCATAATCACAATCTCTGTGGAAGTTGAAAAAAATGAAATGTGTTTCTTCTTTCTGTCGCTGAATGTTGTTTGTCTTTTTTTTTTTTTTTTTAAAGTGTTTGCTGAAGACACAATGTTTTGGATTATGCCCTGGACATAAAGCTTATTTTCCTTTCACATTCTCTTAAATGAATAAAAAATACTGTAATGAACCAAAAACGACACAAAACCAAAACGCCACCCAGGCGGCTCTCTCAGCAGTGAAGTCTCCTGGAACATGGTTAAAGCCTACTGGATGGGGAATGCTTAACTGTTTCCCTAACAGAGTGTTATTCTGAACACCTGTCCCAGAAGAAAAAGACTTAAAGAGGGTCACCCTATTAATATGTATTGAGCAGTAAAGGGCCAATTTTAATATTTCAAACAACTCCTGTGAATAGAAGATCCCTGTAGTGCATCTCCCTGTTTGCACTACAATCCTCTTTTAAAATGATGTTCTTGGCTATCCAATCGCCCCAGGCGAGAGGAACAACAAGAGGAAGAAAAAATGCAGAAAAAGTACGGAGAGAAAATGGTGGGAATTTGTTTTATTCAACTTCACCTGTCGCTCAAGCAACTCGCCCATAGGAAGACTCCACACTTTATATGAATTACCTAGTGTGGTCTCTTCCCACCACTTCAACGCACTATTTTAGCACCTGTTTTGCAAACCACCAACTGCGTTTACAAGTAGAGGCATAATCGGTAGGAGAATGACCTTTTGCAGCACATACTGTAATCTAGTTCATCAAATACCTGTCAGCCAACTGTCCAGAAAGCAAGAAAATCGAGGTGGGGAGTGGTGGAAATTTATCCCTCTTTCCCTGCTAAATTGACAATCTGGTCATTTCTCCTCCTCCTTTCCCTCCTTCCTTCCCATCCGCGTCCCCAAACTGTTACTAGGGAAACTCGAAAAAGGAATCGGAAACACTAGGAAAACAAAAGTTTAGACCCCATAACCATGATCCCATTACCATGCAGAAAGCAACGCACACGCCCAACCTCGGTCGCCGCTATCAGCCAGAGCAAGTAAGATGTTAATTGCAGCCTCGCTGAGAAAAACTAGGATTGTTCCACCCGGGAACGCGAGCAGTTCGGAGGCCGAGACCTGCCCCCTCCGCGGCGGGCAATCCATCCCTCCGAATCCCGGTGCGGAAATGAGAGCTGCGACAGGTCGGCGCTGAAAGAAAGAGAAAGACGATCAAGTGCGGCATTTACTCCCCAGCCCCGGGAGTCGCCTTCCCGTCCTCCGCAACCCCCCTGGCCTCGCCTCCCCGGGAGTTTCTCTGACGGCCGGTCGCCGCCGGCAGCGGCGCTGGGAACTGAGGAGACACAGACCTCCCAGGCGCAGAAAGCACCGCTCCCGGGACGTGCTGGGCTCGGAGCAGCCGTGACGTGCAGGCGCACCGCGGCCCGGACTGGAGCCCCTCCCCCCGCCCTCCCGCTCCGCTCCCTCCGCGCCCCGCCAGGGCCCAGGCGGAGCTCAGCGAGGCGCCGCAGCCGCGCTGCGCTCGCGGACCCCAGGCGGCCGCCGGGCGCACCGCGCTGCATGCGCGCGCCCACGAGCACGCGGGGCCCGGCGCGCGCCTCGGGGCCGCGCGCCCCCTCCCTCGCGCGCCCGGGTAGAGCGAGCGCCGCGCGCCGCGCGCACACCCGAGACAGAGCTTTACTATCTCGCTCCCTCCCGCGCCTCCCTCCTCGCCCGGCGTTCAAACAGCTTTCCGACATCACCAGTCGCGGATTCTTTTCCCCTCTCCTTAGTCGCCGTCAGTCCATCAGTACCTGCGGTGGGGGGGAGGGGGGAGGAGGAGGCGGGAGGAGAGCGGAAAGAGGAGAAAGCATGAGCTCCAGCCTTCCGAGGCGACCACGAACACTCCCGTAATAAACCCACCGCCCCCAACAAATCTGCCTTAGCAGCCGCCGCCGCTTCTCGTCTCAGCGCTTTCTCGGCTTCTTGGCTGACCGGTTTACTGGGGGGTAGATTTGGAAAAGCAGATCCTCGCTCTTAAGCCACTTGCATGTTTTTTTTTTTTTTTGATTCCTTAGTGTCTGTCTTCGGGGGGCTCACCCCGCCCCCGCCTGGGTTGGAGGTTGGATTCACTTGGCTACGGCTTAGGCTCCGGGGTCCTGGGGGCTTTTTTCTCCCACCCCTCCACTCTTTGATTCTTACCCCCCGCCCCACATCTTTTGCTTCTCTTATGAGTGCGTTAGAAAAAAATCAATCCTGATTTTTGAAGCTCAGCCGGGGAAAATGGGCAACGGTGCTTGGGACCGAAGGGGAGTCTCTCCGTCACTGTTGCTGGGACGCGTGCCTGTGCTGGTGTCTTAGAGCAAGAGCCTCCCTGAGCTTTCGGAGTGGAAGGTAAGGACGGGGGTCCGGGGGTCACCTTCCCTCTGCCGGGGGCGCCACCGAGGAGCTTTCCGCCGGGTGTTTGCGGAGGGAAGACCTGCAAAGGCCAGGCTGTTGCTGGTGGATGGAGAGGCTGCGAGCAAACCCGACTGCCTGCATTTACTTAAACGCCGCAGTTGAAAAGTTGGGGAAGTCTGGTTTTCCAGAGATGTGCTGGGTCGGAAGGAATCGGCAGGGAGACCTACAAAACCTGACAGTTGTGTGTGATTGGGGTAATTTGATGGGGGGAAATTTCAGGTTAAAAGGAAGTTAAGATAAGGGGAGGCCGTGGGTCTTTCATTGGGGAAAAAAAATTCAGTGGAGTGATGGCGCCGTCTATGTTCGACTGAAAAGTGTCATCCAGAGAATCAGTTTTGAGGAGAGCTAAACTAAACGCCGCTTTGCCTCTCAGCAGGAAACAAGCAAATAAATAAATAAATGCCACATCCTTGAAACCTCGGGGGCCGGGCCCTTCGACACCCGCACCCTCGTCTTCCTTTCTTAAAGGGAGAAATACAGTTGTTTGAAGTGGCCCTGCAGGCGGGGGCTGGCGAGGGCTGGGGGTGGTGGCAGCGACAGTTCAGTGATTCATTTGTGATTAGTTCGAATTAAAGGAGACTCCGTACACCAAGGCTGAATGATTAAAATAAAGAGCATTACGTTGAGGGAGCTTTCTTGAGCCGGCTTGAAAGCGAAATCAGAGCCATTTCCTCACTGTTTCTAATCCTTGATGAGCACAGCAATGCAGACTTGCACCGTCAAATAGATGGAAGCAAAAGTACCGGATTTCATTAGGAAAAGAAATAGACCCCTTTTTGAGTTGGCGATTATAAAATGAAGCCCCCTTTCATGGATGGAATTCCTAATTTAGACACTTATTGTCACACTGGCTCTCAACGCCTACACTCTATCCTGAAGAACACTGCGCAGACCTGCATTGCCTGCAAAGTGCTACAGCAAAAAAAAAAAAAAAAAAGAGAGAAAAAAAAAAAGGAAAATTCCTTCCAGAATTTCCTGTAACTTTCCCTATTTTTTAACCTTTACATGCTCATTGGCTTCATTTTCTCAAGAAGAAAATACATTATTCATTGAACTGTATGTTTGAATTAGGAAAACACTGTTTTGATAGTCCCCGCAATTCTGATGTTATTTTAAACTGCTGCTATATGGAGATTTTAGAGTTGGGGTTGTTTTTGCTTATATCAAAACTTAGAATTTGTATTATGAACTGGGGAATGCAGATCTGTCTTCAGGGACTTAAGTCACTGGATTTTGTGTGCATGCGTTGGTGTGTGTTATGCAACGGGAAGGAAGAGGGTTTCTATCCTTTGGTTCAGAGAGGACCCAGGCAAAGACATGAAAACTCTTAATTACCTATATGTCTGTGTGTCTGTCTCTGTTTACAGAACAGTGGAAGAGACTGCAGCCTAAAGACTTTTAAAATTAACTTGGCATCACTTAGCCCAAAGGCTAAGCAAAAAAAAAAAAAAAAAAAAGCAGTGCCATTTATTCTAAGAAATAACTTCTTAAAGGTTACAGCTGAAAAATATTCAAGTTACTTTTGGATGACAACTTACAGAGGTAAATATAACCAAGGATTACTGTATTATGCAAGGCCAGGTTAAAAAAATAGAGAAAAAAAGGAGCTTTGAAGCTGTTGTTGGAGAGGGAACAATTCAATAATTGAAATCGGCTAGGAAAGACAAAGCTAATATCTTTTATGTACCATGTGTAAATCTTAAATACCAGTAGATAACTCTAGATAAAATAGCCCTATTAAAAAAAAAATAAAGCTGAAACCAACTCAGTTACTGTGGTTCTGGGATTTTTCACGGACATCGCCTTTGGATACAGATATTAATATAGTGGTCTACTTTATATATCCCAAGAGGGCATGTCACATTGAAATGACTGCCTTCTCAATGATAATGTCCAAAAGCAGGTCTTCCCTATGTATCTGCCCTTTCTTGGATGATGGTTTACAAATTCTGTTAATCCACAAGAATACCTGTATTTTTGCACAGGAATTTCCCATCAGTTCACCCAGTGGCCCCTGCGAAGACGATTTGGGTGATGATGTTTCAGCTGCAACAAATTATCATTTGTGCTTTTAAAATTGAGGCTATCATGGATCATAATTGCTTTTCACATTTAAAAGAAAAAAAAATAATATGCCGATAGCTGTTCTCCGATTATCAGATTAGATTTTGTGTGGTGTTGTTTACTGCAGGCAGAGGGCTGAGGGGGGAGAAAAGGTTTGTATGGGTTGCTTAAAAATATCTCAAAAATTAACATTTAGGCTGTTACATTAAAAAAACAAAAATTTCCTCTTCTTTCAATAGAATCACCACGCACTTGAAGGAAATCTTGGTAGATAAATTAAGAGCATTCCTATTAATAATCTATTGAATATTATTCTTAAATTGAATGTAGGGAGTTTGGCCACTGTGAATGACCACGTGAGGGCGCTGTTCACACAGCAACAGATAATTTTCGTGCGTTATAAAATAAAAATTACCTGCCCTTCTTTTAAAAAGGGTTTTTTACTGAAATCTTGAAAACAGCTGGCTGTGATATTGAAAGGAGTTTCTTTTTTTCGATGCGCGTAGACTCCTACTTGCATTTTTCTTTCATTGCCATCTTTACAGGCCAAATGACATAGGATGAAGGCTGTTCGTAACCTGCTGATTTATATATTTTCCACCTATCTCCTGGTTATGTTTGGATTTAATGCTGCCCAAGACTTCTGGTGTTCAACTTTGGTGAAAGGAGTCATTTATGGATCGTATTCTGTAAGTGAAATGTTTCCCAAAAACTTTACAAACTGCACTTGGACGCTGGAAAATCCAGATCCAACCAAATATAGCATTTACCTGAAATTTTCCAAAAAGGACCTTAGCTGCTCTAACTTTTCCCTCTTGGCTTATCAGTTTGATCATTTTTCCCATGAAAAAATCAAGGATCTTTTAAGAAAGAATCATTCTATAATGCAACTCTGCGAATCCAAGAATGCTTTCGTTTTTCTACAGTATGATAAAAATTTTATTCAAATACGTCGGGTCTTTCCAACCGATTTCCCAGGATTACAGAAAAAAGGGGAAGAAGATCAGAAATCTTTTTTTGAGTTTTTGGTATTGAACAAGGTGAGCCCAAGCCAGTTTGGTTGCCACGTATTATGCACTTGGTTGGAGAGCTGCTTGAAATCAGAAAATGGGAGAACAGAGACCTGCGGGATCATGTATACAAAATGCACCTGCCCTCAGCACTTGGGAGAGTGGGGAATCGACGACCAGTCGCTGGTTTTGTTAAATAACGTGGTGTTACCCCTGAATGAGCAGACCGAGGGCTGCCTGACCCAAGAGCTGCAGACCACCCAGGTCTGCAATCTTACCAGGGAGGCCAAGCGACCGCCCAAAGAAGGTAAGCGCCGGCCGAGAGGGGGAGCTGGGCGGGGAGTGGTGCTGGGGGATGGAGTTAAAACGTGCTGTGTCACACACCGGCCCAACCCTTGCCCCTTTCTTCTGTCACCTTTGGATTGATTTGACTTGTGATCTTCTTAAAGCTAGTTTTACGTTTCAAGATTTGAGAGATGGGGCGGGGAGGATGGGATAGCGCTCAGCAACCTGACGCCCGGTGTGAGTGGCATGTTCAGGGGAAATGAGATGCTAAAACGTGGAGCCAGTTTGCGCTGGAGGTCGGTGAGGAGGGATGGGTGGGGGGCGTTTTATTAGGCTGCAGCCCCTCTGGGAGACGGACACACACACACACACACACACACACACACACACACACACACCTGTGAATGGATCTGTAGACTTCTCCCTTCGCCTCCGGCCCACCCTCCCATCCGTGACCCCTTTCCAGGTTGGAACTTGGGGCTTCCTGACCGAAAGGTGACACAAACTCAGTGGCAAGTCTGTGTGGACCAAATGACTTGGCGACACAGGAGGGCGAGGGTGCCCCTCCTCCCCAGGCCGGGAAGGAGCCCACGTGCCGGGTCTTTCGTCCAGGGAAGCCCACTGGGGGTGCAGACTCGGGTCTCCGGGCAGTGAAGTCACGTGGCAGGGGGAGGGGGCGGAATTAACACAGGCGGGTCCTGCAAGACCTGGCATCCCATTCGCGGGTACCCACGAGGAACGGGAGCTCCTCAGAGCCAAGCTAGATGCAAAAACAGTGCAACAGGAAGGAGAGATGCAGAGGAAGTAGAGAAAGTACAGGAGTGATTTACAGCTTTCACCCAGACGCTGGAGGAGGGGAGCTGCCCCGGGATCTGAGACAGTGGATTATGTTTAATAAGGCAAAAAAGCTGACACATTTTGAGAGAAAATGACTTTCCGGT